CTTTTTACACAGGGGGCCAGTTCACTGTCCCTCAGACCGTTGGAGGGCCGCCACATACTGTGCTCCTCTCACTGACCACCAGTGAAAGAGATGCCCCTTCCTGAAGTGCGGCGGGGGGGCCGGATAAATGGCCTCAGGGGGCCTCATGCAGCCCACGGGCCGTAGTTTGGGCTCCTGGTCTGGATGATCTGTCCGATACTGAAAGTAGAGTGTTGAAGTCTCCAGTTATGATTGTACTGGGGTCTGTCTTTCCCTTTAGTTCTGATATTTGCTTTATATATCTGGGTGCTCAAGTGTTGGATACGTATGTATTTATAATTGTTACATCATCTTGTTGAATTGACTTTTGATCTTCTTTGTCTCTTTTTGTAGTTATTGTCTTGAAATCTATTTAGTCTGATTAATTATAGCTACTTCCGCTCTGCTCCTTTTTTGTTTCCATTTGCATGGAATATCTTTTTCCATTTTTTTATTTTCATTTGATGTGTATCTTCATAGGTGAGGTGCGTTTCTTGTAGATCGTTTGGTCTGGTTTTTTAATTCATTCAGCCACTCTGTCTTTTGATTGGAGAGTTCAGTCCGTTTACATTAAGTGGTGTTACTGATAAGTAAGGATTTGCTCCTGCCATTTTGTTGCTTGTTTTTTGGTGGTTTTGTGGTCTTTTCTTCCCTCCGTGCCTCCCTCCCTCTTTCCCTCCTTCTTTCCTTCCATCTGTCCATCCATCCATCTTTTAGTGAAGGTGATTTTTCTCTGGTGGTACATTTTAATTTCTTTTTGTTTTTTATTTATCTGTTATATGTTGGGCCTGCTTTATGGGGCAATGAAAACATTCGAAAATTGACTGGAGATTGTCGTTCAGTTTGGTGAATATACCAAAAATCATTGAATTGTGTACTTTCAGTGGGTGAATTGTATGATATGTGAATTGTTTCTTCATAATACCATTAAAAATACCAAAACCTTTCATATGGCAAAAGATACCATAAACCGTATTAGAGAAAATCCAGACTTGGATTAATTATGTGTAACATATAAAACTATTAAAGGCTTCGTCAGGATGTTCCCAGAAAAATAAATAAATAAAATAAAAATAATAAAATAAAAGTGTTAAAGGCTTAGTACCCGAAACACAAAAGGAATTTCTAAATATCAGTAAGAAACAGACTAACACTGTATTAGTAAATTACTAGAGGATTCAGGCAGTTCGCTTAAGAATGGGCCTAAATGGCTGATTAAAAAAGTGAACAGGTGTTGTTTCAGGGAGATAAAATTTAAAGCAGTAGAGATATAATGCTACATCTGTCTTTTTGGATCAAATTAATACACCTTAGGAGATCAAGTGTTGGCACAAAGCTCATGAAATGGAGCAGGCGCCTTCATTGCTGGGGAAGTATAAACTGGTTGGTCTCCTCGGAGAGCAGTCTGACAGTATCGTGTTGACAGCAGGCCCTACTCTGTGACCTTGTACTAGAGCCACTCTTGTGCCCATTGCAGTGCCCTTTGTGGGTGAAACAGTAACAGGAATCTAGCTGGGTCCCTCAGACTGGGATAACTTAACCACAGAACTGCGTATATACAGCAGTGAGAGTCAGCAAACTAGATCAGCAGAGATCAACACAGATGTCAGAAAAACAGAACGTTGAGTGAAAATGCTATGGAAAATGATACATACACAGCCTGGCTTATTGCAGGTGGTTGATACTAGTTCTACCCTTTTTTTTTTTCTCCTTCCTTCCCTCCCTCCCTCCTTCCTTCCTTCCTTCCTTCCCTCCTTCCTTCCTTCCCTCCTTCCTTCCTTCCCTCCTTCCTTCCTTCCCTCCTTCCTTCCTTTCCTTCTTCCTTCCTTCCTTCCTTCTTTCCCTCCCTTTCTTTCAACTAGGTCTCATTCTGTCACCCAGGCTGAAGTGCAGTGGGATGATCATGACTCACTGCAGCTTTGACCTCCTGGTGGGGGTCAAGTGATCCTCCTGCCTCAGCCTCCTGAGTAGCTGGGACGACAGGCATGCACCCTATGCCCGTCTGATTTTTAAATTTTTCATAGAAAGGCTGTCACTATTGCCCAGGCTGGTCTTGAACTCCTGGGCTCCAGCAATCCTCCCAGCTTGCTGGGCCTCCCTAAGTGCTGGGATTATAGGCATGAGCCACCACACCTGGCTGTTGCTGTTGGTTTTTTGGACTGTTGATGCATCTTTATGTCTCTAAAATTTAAACGCTGTTACAAATTTTTTTTTTTTTTCTTTTTTTGAGACGGAGTTTCGCTCTTGTTACCCAGGCTGGAGTGCAATGGCGCGATCTCGGCTCACCGCAACCTCCGCCTCCTGGGTTCAGGCAATTCTCCTGCCTCAGCCTCCTGAGTAGCTGGGATTACAGGCACGCGCCACCATGCCCAGCTAATTTTTTGTATTTTTAGTAGAGACGGGGTTTCACCATGTTGACCAGGACGGTCTCGATCTCTTGACCTCGTGACCCACCAGCCTCGGCCTCCCAAAGTGCTGGGATTACAGGCTTGAGCCACCGCGCCCGGCACAAATGTTTTTTGAAAGTTGCTTTTTGCTAATGTTGTTGCAGTCTTCTTATAGTTTTAAGTGCTCATGTGTGCCAGCTGCCATTCTAGGGGCCAGGGGCCACGGCTGCAGCTGTGAACAAAACGAGCAAAATCTCCGCTCTCATGGGGCTCACAAATTCGGGGTAACAGACAATAAACAAGTAGAAAAATAACTGTGCTCTTGATTGACATTAAACAGTATGAAGGAAAGGAAGCGGGCTGGAAGTGATCGGGGAGCGTGCTCTGAGGAGGCTATTCAACAGAGACTAGCTTTTTTTTTTTTTTTGATTGAGACATAGTCTTACTCTGTCACTCAGGCTGGAGTGCAGTGGTATGATCTTGGGTCACTACAACCACCTCCTCCCGGTTTCAAGCGATTCTCCTGCCTCAGCCTCTCAAATAGCTGGGATTACAGGTGTGCACCATGACACCCGGCTAATTTTTGTATTTTTAGTAGAGATGGGGTTTTGCCATGTTGGCCAGGCTGGTCTCGAACTCATGACCTCAAGTGAGCCACCCACCTTAACCTCCCAAAATGCTGGGATTACAAGTGTAAGCCACCATGCCCAAACATAGACTTGCATTTTAAGAAGAGAAAGCATGCAGCAATGTTTGAGAAAAGCATCCAGGCAAGTGAAAAAGTCTTCAGTTAGATTGTGGTAAAAAATGGCCACAAGCAGCCGGGTGCGGTGGCTCAAGCCTGTAATCCCAGCACTTTGGGAGGCTGAGGCGGGTGGATTACGAGGTCGAGAGATCGAGACCATCCTGGTCAACATGGTGAAACCCTGTCTCTATTAAAAATACAAAAAATCAGCTGGGCATGGTGGCTCGTTCCTGTAATCCCAGCTACTCAGGAGGCTGAGGTAGGAGAATTGCCTGAACCCAGGAGGCGGAGGTTGCGGTGAGCCGAGATCGCGCCATTGCACCCCAGCCTGGGTAACGAGCCAAACTCCGTCTCAAAAAAAAAAAAAAAATGGCCACAAGCATTAAATACTTAGGAATAATCTTAATAAAAGAAGTGCAGTCTTAACATTGTGAAAACAGAAAACATTGTTAAAGAACCTAAATAAATGGAAAGGGATCGTAGGCTGTCGGACTAGCAAAGAACGTTGTTGAGAGAGCAGTACTCCCAGACCCATCCGCACATTGGGTGCAGTTCCTGTCACCCCAGCTGGTTTCCTCGAAGAGATTGACCAGACCATCCTGAAGAATACCGAGGCCAGTGTGGCCAGAGCCCAGGACGGGGGAGGAGGGGTAAATGGCAATACAGTCAGGGAGACTGGCAGGGTTTCTGAGTCCTGAAACGCTGTGGGCCATGACGGGGGGACTATCGTCCACCTCCTCTAGGTCTAGACTTAGGAGGCTTGTAAGTAGGGCTGAGATGGCCATTAGCCCAGTGGCAGTGAACAGGACAGAACGTTGAATCGAATTCAGCTTTTCAGTGGCAGGAAATGAGAGCATCCTCAGTTTCTTTCTGTATGTGTTGTATTTGTGTCATATTACTGAGCCACCTAAACCTTTTCTTAAGTGATATGGAAGTAGCACAATTTATCATAGAATATTTGGAAGATTGAGGCTGGGTATGGTGACTTATACCTGTAATCCCAAAACTTTTAGGGAGGCTGAGGCAGGAGGATTGCTTAAGGCCAGGAGTTCAAGACCAGCCTGGGCAACATAGCAAGACCCCTCATCTCTTAATAAATTAGTGGGGCGTAGTGGTATGCACCTTTAATCCTAGCTACTCGGGAGGTTGAAGTGGGAGAATCACTTTAGCTCAGGGGTTCAGAGCTGCAGTGAGCTATGATCGTACCACTGTACTCCAGCCTGGGTGACAGAGTGAGAAATCCTGGGTTTTTTTTTTTTTTTTTGCTTGTTTGTTTATTTTTGAGATGGAGTCTTGCTCTGTCGCCCAGGCTGGAGTGCAGTGGCATGATCTCAGCTCACTGCAACCTCCGCCTCCCAGGTTCGAGCGATTCTTCTGCCTCAGCCTCCCCAGTAGCTAGGACTGCAGGTCTGCACCACCACACCTGGCTAACACTTGTATTTTTAGTAGAGATGTGGTTTCACCATGTTGGTCAGGCTGGTCTTGAATTCCTGACCTTGTGATCCGCCCACCTCAGCCTCTCAAAGTGCCGGGATTACAGGCGTGAGCCACCATACCCTCCCCAGAGACCCTGTTTTTAAAACAAACAAACAAAAATATCCACAAACAATATTTAGAAGATACAAACTGAAAGAGAATATCTTTACGGATCCTACCACTTTGAGGTAATGGCAGTTCACGTTTAGTGTTTTTTTCCTTCTGGTCTTTTCAATGAAGTTATCAGACATTTCTAAAATTCAGTGATGAGTGCCCCACCCAGCTCACCCCTTAACGCCATGAAAAGAAAAAGAGGAATCATAGCTTTCCTTTTGGCAAGTCAGTCGGTGAGGTTTCTGATGAATTTCTTTCAGGTGGAGCTGATCAGAATAATGTTTAGCATCAACCCCCTGGAGAACCTGAAGGTTTACATCAGCAGTCGGCCGCCTCTGGTGGTCTTCATGATCAGCGTGAGCGCCATGGCCATAGCTTTCCTGACTCTGGGCTATTTCTTCAAAATCAAGGAGATTAAATCACCGGAAATGACGGAGGTACAGTATGTTCTGACTTTTCCTGGGCTGGCTGCTCCTTGTGGAGTAGGGCAACACCCTGTGGCTTGCCATATAACTTTCTTGGGTTTGGGCCTTTCTCTCCTTGTGAGAAAGGTCAGTATTTATTCAGAATTTTCTGTTTTCCGTCTCCCCAGGACTCACTTTGTTAGGAAATACCTAGATAAGTATTGTTCGATTTAAATAATGCTATTGGTTTCATGTAGACTATTTCAGCAGTGAAACAGATGGATTTTGGAGGGTACATTTGTAAAATGATCTGTGTCAAAAAGCTAGAGAACTCACCTCTTTGATATTCCATCTCAAATGGGTTCATTGCTGTTTTAGCAAACTGAGCATTTGGTGTTTTGAAGCCACATATCATCATGGAGTTTTATCAGCAGTACTGATGGTATTTTTCAAGAGATAAGAAGGAATCCTAAAGAAATTCAAAAACAAGATCCAATTTCCAGATATATTTGTGTGTGTTTTTTTCGAGACAGAGTCTTGCTCTGTCACCCAGTCTGGAGTGCAGTGGTGCAATCTCAGCTCACTGTAACCTCTACCTCCTGGGTTCAAGCGATTGTCCTGCTTCAGCCTCCAAAGTAGCGGGATTATAGGCACTTGCCACCATACCCGGCTAATACTTGTCTTTTTAGTAGAGGCAGGGTTTTGCTGTGTTGGCCAAGCTGGTCTCAAACGCCTGACCTCAGGTGATCTGCCTGCCTTGGCCTCCCAAAGTACGGGGATTACAGGTGTGAGCCACCGAGCCTGGCCTAATTCCTGTCTTTTTTTTTTTTTTTGAGACGGAGTTTTGCTCTTGTTACCCAGGCTGGAGTGCAATGGCGCCAACTCGGCTCACTGCAACCTCCACCTCCTGGGTTCAGGCAATTCTCCTGCCTCAGCCTCCTGAGTAGCTGGGATTAATTTTTAGTAGAGACGGGGTTTCACCATGTTGACCAGGATGGTCTCGATCTCTTGACCTTGTGATCCACCCGCCTCGGCCTCCCAAAGTGCTGGGATTACAGGCGTGAGCCACCGCGCCCGGCCTAATTCCTGTCTTTTAATAGATTCTTCCAGGGCCTTCTCTTGCTCTTTTTTCTTGCATCGTTTGTTGGTGTTGGAGGTGGGGTGGGACTGGTAGTGCGTGGTTGCTGCATTGAGTTTGCCTTGCAAGGAGAGGAGAGGGCTGTTTTGTGTAACTGAAATTGTAGCTTTCTCTTGCGCCCTAGGGCATTCTGGATCTTACGGGATCTCGGATCTCGGCAGGAGACGGCCTGTGCATGTGAGCTCTTTCTAGCACAGTTCATGTAACAAGTTTTAACTGTTTCTACCAGAGTTTCTTGCTAAGAGATATTGGTTGGCCTAATTCTCCCTCTTTTCTGATCCTACCTGAATCTTTAAATTGCCCCCACATTAGGGCTGAAAATGAATATTCTATCATTTTTATTTATTTATTTATTTATTTATTTATTTTTGAAAATGGAATATTCTATTCAGAACCAAAGCTCTGCCGTTTCTTTCCCACAGAGGTTGAGTCCATGTTCAGTGCTTGGCCAAGGCCGATGGTTACTATGCAGCCTGGATAATTAGCCCTTAATAATCCAAATTAGGCCTGGCATTGGCTTTAGCTGGCTATTCAACATGGACTCCAGCTCTGTAGGAGCTTATTGCTGAGATGCTGCAGAGCTTTGGTTATGATTAATTTTGTGATTTTTATTTTCATATGAAGATCCTAGGTTGTAGGAAAGCCAGAGGTGTATGGGAAACATTTGGGGCTGTGAAGCAGAACTTAATGCTGATTCTGCCTTGAACTAGAATTGGAGAGTCCCTAATTTGCCCTGGGTCTCAGTTTCTTCATGTCTTGGACTATGAAGGACTGAGACTAGAATGTTCATTTTCAACCCTAATGTGCTAGAATGGTCAGCTAAATGTAATTTGATAGATTCAGTTGCTGTCTTACTAAATGTCACATACAGTTAAACTGAAGGTGTAAGGGTGGACTTACTGGGCTGGTTAGGGGTTGCTCAAATGACCTTTTTTTTTTTTTTTTTTTGAGATAGAGTGTCATTCTGACACCCAGGCTGAGGCTGGAGCACAATAGTGCGATCTCGGCTTACTGCAGCCTCCACCTCCCTTCCAATGATTCTCATGCTCAGCCTCCAAAGCAGCTGGGATTACAGGCATGCGCCACCACACCTGGCTAATTTTTTTTTTTTTTTTTTTTTTTTTTTTTGAGGCAGAGTCTCTGTCACCCAGGCTGGAGTACAATGGCATGATCTTGGCTCACTGCAACCTCTGCCTCCTAGATTCAAGCAATTCTTCTTCCTCAGCCTCTTTGAGTAGCTGGGATTACAGGCATGTGCCACCATGCCCGGCTACTTTTTCTATTTTTAATAGAGATGGGGGTTTCAACATCTTGGCCAGGCTGTTCTTGAACTCCTGACCTCATGATCCACCCACCTTGGCCTCCCAAAGTGCTGGGATTACAAGTGTGAGCCATTGAGCCTGGCCTAATATTTGTATTTTTAGTAGAGAGGGGTTTTCACCATGTTGCTCAGGCTGGTCTCAAATTCTTTATTTCAAGTGATCTGCCTGCCTCAGCCTCCCAAAGTGCTGGGATTATAGGCACCACACCTGTCCCCTTCCTTTTTGAAATTGTTGTTGCTCTAAGCTGTCATCAAAAGTCCATAAGAAGAAGGGAAGTGTCCCAAATGAGTATTGGTATTCACTGCTATTTTGTGTTCTAGAGAAGGAGAGCAAGGTATATGAAATTGAACTTTTGGGAAATTCTTTAAGGTGACCTTATTAAAAAAAAAAGAATTGTAATTGCAAAATGAATTAATCTGTTCAAGCTTTCTTTTCAAGTTTTGTTCTGAGGCTAGATCATTTTCTCTAAGTGTAATATGCTGAATTTTTAAAAAACATTTTCTTGAATAAATTGATTTGATTTCACAGTTTATTGAGTATCTTGTGCCAATGCAGAGTTCACATTTTAGGTTATGAATATAAAAGTGGTTAGGAAAGCCACAGCCTGTGAAGGGGGTGATGTCATGATCTGAAATGACCGGCTGTGAATTGCAGTTTGCTGATGTGTTGTGCTGCCTCACCGGTTCTCACCTGTGCAGTGGGACACAGGCACTGCTCATGCTCGTTTCTCTTTATTTCACTTTCCCGAAGGACTGGAATACTTTTCTGCTACGGTTCAATGATTTGGACTTGTGTGTATCAGAGAACGAAACGCTGAAGCATCTCACAAATGACACCACAACTCCGGAAAGCACCATGACCAGCGGGCAGGCCCGAGCTTCCACGCAGTCCCCCCAGGCCCTGGAGGACTCAGGCCCGGTGAACATCTCAGTCGCAATCACCCTCACCTTGGACCCGCTGAAACCATTCGGAGGGTATTCCCGGAACGTCACCCATCTGTACTCAACGATCTTAGGGCATCAGATTGGACTTTCAGGTATGCGGTAGCCCCTCTCCATTCAGACTCCTCAGGCAACCACTGTGACCGAAAGGGGATGCACTGTGTATGCTTTTACTGTGTTGTACTGTATTCTAGTCTTGCACATGTGTCTTTTTTTGCTGGGTTTGGACTGTGTGAACCATTTCTACTATATCTTTACATGGTGAAGCGCTAGACTTGAAGTACTGTCTCCAAAGCCTGTAAGAACGAGAATCCGTGAAAACATTGTAAGACCTAATATTTGCAAACTTGTAATTACTTTTTAGTCAGGCTTATCCTGTTGGAGTTTTCATTGCTTACTTCACGTCTTCTATTGCTGTTAGTTTACAGATGTTTTCAGTGGCCATTGTTAGTCCAGCATTGTGCTAAACTGCTGGGAAGAATTAGAAAATGACTAAGATGGCTGGGTGCAGTGGTTCGTGCATGTAATACCAGCACTTTGGGAGGCCCAGGTGGGTGGCTTGCCTGAGCTCAGGAGTTCAAGACTAGCCTGGGCAACATGGTGAAACTGCATTGCTACAAAAATACAAAAAATTAGCCGGCATGCAGGCATAGTGGTGCGTCGTTGTAGTCCCAGCTGCTCAGGAGGCCGAGGAGTGAGAATTGCTTGAATCCCAGAGGTGGAGGTTGCAGTGAGCTGAGATTGTGCCACTGCACTCCAGCCTTGGCAACAGAGTGAGACTCCGTCTCAAGAAAAAAGAAAAGAATGCCTAAGATGGGCCCAGTGTGGTGGCTCACGCCTGTAATCCCAGCACTTTGGGAGGCCAAGGCTGGTGGATCACTTGAGGTCAGGAGTTTGAGACCAGTCTGGCCCACGTGGTGAAACTCCGTCTCTACTACAAATACAAAAACATTAGCTGAACATGGTGGCGGGCACCTGTGATCCCAGCTACTCGAGAGGCTGAGGCAGGAGAATCACTTGAATCCTGGAGGTAGAGCCTGCAGTGAGCCAAGATTACGCCACCGTACTCCAGTCTCGACAACAAAGTGAGACTTTGCTTAAAAAAAAAAAAAAAAGCCTAAGATTTGGTCTCTTCCCTTTGGAAATTTGGACTTATGGAAGAGACAACGATAAAAGAGTTAATGTTTATCAAGCACTTATAATGGTTCCTGCCACAAAGGAGATGCTATATAAGTGCTTGATAAAGGATGTGAAAAATATAGTTATAAAACATGGAGCACTGCCCTTTGACCAGTGCTAAACCCATGATAGACTATGAGTGACTCAGGAGAAGGGCTAGAAGGCAGTGGAAGCTGTAATAATCAGGAAAGGCTTCATACAGGAGGCCTGGGCCTTGAAAGAATAACCTTTGGTTCTTTGGTTACCAGAAGGCTTTTCAAAAAATTCTTTGGTTGGGTGCAGTGGCTCATACCTATAATCTCAGCACATCAGGCTGAGGCAGGAGAATCGCATGAGCTCACAAATTGAAAACTAGCCTGGGACTATTAACAAACACCTATCTTTATGAAAAATTAGGAAAATTAGCCAGGCATTGTGGCATGCACCTGTAGTTCCAGATACTTGCAAGGCTTAGGTGAGAGGATTGCTTGAACCTGGCAGGTCGAGGCTACAGTGAGCTAAGATTGTACCATTGCATTCCAGCCTGGGCGATAGAGTGAGACCCTGTCTCAGAAAAAAAGCAAGAAACAAATAAGTTCTTGAAGGAATTTAAGTGCCCACCAGCCTCCTATTGGCTGTTAGAGGTGAGAATATTACCATGATAATCAAGGTATGGATAACTTCTGGGTTTTCCATATAGCAAGTGGACCTATTTCTTATGGCAGGTCATTAGGACACCTTTGGGTTTTAAAAAAAATTTTTATTATTATTGTTATTCAGAGACTGAGCCTCACTCTTGCCCAGGCTGGAATGCAGTGGCACAATCTCAGCTCACTGCAACCTCCGTCTCCCAGGTTCAAATGACTCTTCTGCCTCAGCCTCCTGAGTAGCTGGGATTACATGCTTGCGGTACCACACCCAGCTAATTTTGTGTTTTTAATGGAGACAGGATTTTACCGTGTTGGCCAGACTGGTCTTGAACTCCTGACTTCAAATGATCTGCCTGCCTTGGCCTCCCAAAATGCTGAGATTTCAGGCATGAGCCACTACACCCAGCTGGGTTTTAAAATTTTAATTTGTAAAATTTATTTTTTGAGACAGGGTCTTGATCTGTCCCCAGGCTAGAGTGCAGTGGTGTGATCATAGCTCACTGCAGCCTCAAACTCCTGGGCTCAAGTGATCCTCCTGCCTCAACCGTCTTAGTAGCTGGAACCACAGGTGTGCACTAGCACACCTGGCTGATTTTCAAAAATTTTTTTATAGAGGCAGGGTCTTGCGGTGGCGTTCAGGCGGGTTGTGAATTCCCGGCCTCAAGTAATCCTCCTGCCTCGGCCTTCTAAAGTCAAAGTACTGGGACTGCAGATGTGAACCACTGCCTGGCAATACGTTGGTTTTAGTTTAAGCTTCATCACTTGCCTTTCTTTCTTTTTTTTTTTTTTTTTGAGACGGAGTTTCGCTCTTGTTACCCAGGCTGGAGTGCAATGGTGCGATCTCGGCTCACCGCAACCTCCGCCTCCTGGGTTCAGGCAATTCTCCTGCCTCAGCCTCCTGAGTAGCTGGGATTACAGGCACGCACCACCATGCCCAGCTAATTTTTTGCACCTCTAGTAGAGACGGGGTTTCACAATGTTGACCAGGATGGTCTCGATCTCTTGACCTCGTGATCCACCCGCCTCGGCCTCCCAAAGTGCTGGGATTACAGGCCTGAGCCACGGTGCCCGGCCCATCACTTGCCTATCTTAACGCTGAAACTCTCTGACCTCTGTTTGACCATGTGTGAAAGGACAAGAGCTGTACTTCTTTGGTCATGTTCATGGGAGAGTAGTATAAATTTTAGGTGAAATAGCACATACAGGAGGCCGGGTGCTCCATGCCTGTAATCTCAGCACTTTGGGAGGCCAGGGCTGCTGGATTACCTGAGGTTGGGAGTTCAAAACTAGCCTGGCCAACATGGTTAAACCCCGTCCCTACTAAAAATACAAAATTAGCTAGGTGTGTTGGCACATGCCTGTAATCCAAGCTACTTGGGAGGCTGAGGCAAGAGAATCACTTGAACATGGGAGGCGAAGGTTGAGGTGAGCTGAGATGGTTCCATTGCGCTCCAGCCTGGGCAACAAGAACAAAACTCCATCTCAAAAAAAACGGAAAGAAATACTATATATAAGAGGTGTTTGAGGCCAGGCGTGGTGGCTCAAGCCTGTAATCCCAGCATTTCGGGAGGCCGAGGCAGGTGGATCACGAGGTCGAGAGATTGAGACCATCCTGGTCAACATGGTGAAACCCCGTCTCTACTAAAAATACAAAAAATTAGCTGGGCATGGTGGCGTGTGCCTGTAATCCCAGCTACTCAGGAGGCTGAGGGAGGAGAGTTGCCTGAACCCAGGAGGCGGAGGTTGCGGTGAGCCGAGATCGCGCCATTGCACTCCAGCCTGGGAAACAAGAGAGAAACTCCGTCTCAAAAAAAAAAAAAAAAAGATGTTTGAAAATGGGTAGATGGCTGTGCAGAAACGGTGGGGATAATTCATCCAGCCTGAGTTTTTCACCTTGGATCTGCCTAAGGTCTGACTTGGCGTCTCCAGGCTGTGACTGGAAAGCAGCCACCTCCTTTGCTGTTTTGTGGCTCTGCTACTTGAGCAGTCTTCACGGTTAGGTTCAGGACTGCTCTTACTCCTCAGATCCCACAAAGGCGGATGCCTGGGCTGCTAGATGGTGCCTGTGTGGGTTTGATTTCAAGATTTATTCAAATCCCAGAGAATAACAAATATGTCATTTTTGCCTTTAAGTACCAAAAAACTGATTTCTCTTTCATAGGCCGGGAAGCCCACGAGGAGATAAACATCACTTTCACCCTTCCTACAGCGTGGAGCTCTGATGACTGCGCCCTCCACGGTCACTGTGAGCAGGTGGTGTTCACAACCTGCATGACCCTCACGGCCAGCCCTGGGGTGTTCCCCGTCACTGTGTAAGTGTTCCCAGCACCTGGTGAAGAATGCACGTGGTGAACTCCACTTGCTGTGAGAACGGCTGGGCTGCTTCTCCAGTAAATTCTCATGACTACTCGCTTCACATTTCTTTATAGAATTGTCTCTACTCAGACTTCTCTAATGGATGATTTAATTTGGAAATGTAAAGCTAGAACCTCCGCATATAAAATCAGAAAGTTAGTGCCGCTCGAGGCAGTAAAAGCACCTGGTTGTTGCTGGCATTCATGGGCTGCCTTTTCTGCAGGAGTAGAAGCAGCAGGTCACAGAAGAGAGGCTCACCGTGGCCAGGTATGGTGGCCCACGCTCCCTGCACTGTGGGAGGCTGAGTGGGGAGGCCCACCTGAGCCCCCAAGGTCAAGACCAGCCTGGACAACATAGTGAGACCCTGTCTCTATTTAAATATTTTAAAAAGAAAAGAGGCTCTCTCAAGGTAAAGGTTTTCAGCCAGCTGGGATGGCTCATACCTGTAATACCAGCACTTTGGAAAGCCAACGTTGGCAGATCACTTGAGGACAGGAGCTCAACACGAGTCTGACCAACATGGTGAAACTCTGTCTCTACTAAAAATACAAAAATTAGCCACATATGATGGCACATGTCTGTAGTCCCAGCTACTTGGGATGATAAAGCAGGAAGGAGAATCTCTTGAACCTAGGAGGCAGAGGTTGCAGTGAGCTGAGATCATGCCACTCTGTACTCGAGCCTGGGTGATAGCAAGACTCCATCTCAAAAAAATAAATGAAAAAATAAAGGTAAAAGTTTTGTTCATCTCCATTATCCAGAAAGATTGATTATAGTGTATCTTGATTTTAGTTTTAAATTAAATATAAATCAAAACTTATTTTCCATTAAGCAGTTACTAATTTTAAAATGTAGCATTTTAAGTAATTTCCCATTAAACAATTACTAAGTTTAATTTTAACTACGAATTTGAAAATTAGTTTTTTTTTTTTGTTTTTTTTTTTTTTAAGACGGAGTTTCGCTCTTGTTACCCAGGCTGGAGTGCAATGGCGCGATCTCGGCTCACTGCAACCTCTGTCTCCTGGGTTCAGGCAATTCTCCTGCCTCAGCCTCCTGAGTAGCTGGGATTACAGGCACGCACCACCATGCCCAGCTAATTTTTTGTATTTTTAGTAGAGACGGGGTTTCACCATCTTGACCAGGATGGTCTCGATCTCTTGACCTCGTGATCCACCTGCCTCGGCCTCCCAAAGTGCTGGGATTACAGGCTTGAGCCACCGCACCCGGTGAAAATTAGTTTTAAAATCAAGTAGAAATTGAACTTTATTTTCCATTGAACATTTGGTTTTTGAAGCGTTTGCTTCAGGGGTTTTTTTTGGTTTTTTTGAGCAACATTCAGTGAGCAGCTTTACCTTTTAGTTTTTTTTTTTTTTTTTTTTTTTTTGTGGTGGGGAGGCTTCTCCCTTCTCTGTAAAGGAGGTATTTATCTATAAATAAATAGGTGAAATACATAAAATATAGTCTATTTAAAAGAATTCTATGGTTAATCCTTTTTAAATAAGAATTATCCTGGGATTTGTCTATTTTGGACATTTGGAGGTTTGTAGGTCAAGAGTAGATTAAGTTAAACGTGTTACAGTAACTGATACAGAATTTTGTGGGTAAAGTTTCCAGTTGTAACAAAGTGATATGCTTTGGGCTGGGTGCAATGGCTCACACCTGTAATACCAGCACTTTTGGAGGCTGAGATGGACAGATAACTTGAGGTCAGGAGTTCAAGAGCAGCCTGGCCAAAACGGTGAAACGCTTTCTTTACTAAAAATACAAAAATCAGCTAGGTGTGGTGGCAGGCCCCTATAATCCCAGCTACTTGGGAGGCCGAGGCACGAGAATCACTTCAATTTGGGAGGTGGAGGTTTCAGTGAGCCGAGGTCACAGCAGTTTGGGCAACAGAGTGAGACTCTGTCTCAAAAAAAAAAGATGATACGGTTTGGTTGTGTCTCCACCCAAATCCACATGGGTAATTTTGGGAACTATAATTCACAATAATCCCCATGTGTCATGGGGGAGACCCAGTGGGAGGTAATTGAATTATGGGGATGGTTACCCCTGTGCTGCTGTTGTCGTGGTAGAGAATGAGTTTTCACAAGATCTGTTGGTTTTAGAAGGGGTTTTCCCCTTTTATTCGGCACTTCTCCTTGCTGGCGCCATGTGAAGAAGGATGTGTTTGCTTCCCCTTCTGCCATGAGTGTAACTTTCCTGAAGCTTCCCTAACTATGCTGAACTGTGAGTCAGTTAAGCTGCTTTCCTTTATAAGTCACCCAGTCCGGGGTATGTCTTTATTAGCAGCGTAAGAACAGACTAATATTCTAAGAGTTTACCTAATTTGAGGAGATAGGTGTAAAGGGGCTTATGTCCATTGCATCCCATGTGAAAGGACTATAGGTTGAATTCTGAAGGCAGAAATTCAACACCCAGACTCCTAAATGTCAGGCAGCTATTTCTTTTTCTGTTATGTGTTTATTTTTTTTTAAAAGACCCTCAGGCCGGGCACGGTGGCTCAAGCCTGTAATCCCAGCACTTTGGAAGGCCGAGGCGGGTGGATCACGAGGTCAAGAGATCGAGACCATCCTGGTCAACATAGTGAAACCCTGTCTCTACTCAAAATACAAAAAATTAGCTGGGCACGGTGGCGCGTGCCTGTAATCCCAGCTACTCAGGAGGCTGAGGCAGGAGAATTGCCTGAACCCAGGAGGCGGAGGTTGCAGTGAGCCGAGATCGCGCCATTGCACTCCAGCCTGGGTAACAAGAGCGAAACTCCGTCTCAAAAAAAAAAAAACCAAAAACTAAAAAAAAAAAAAAAAAAAAAAAAAAAAAAAAAAACCAAAAACTAAAAGACCCTCAAACTAAAATATAATGGTATTTACCTCAAAGAAGTATGAGCATGTAAGTTACATTTCTCCTTTCCACATGTGCTGCCGTGTTCACTGTTTTGCCAGCTGCTGTGGGGGTGACACACGTGAATGACTCAGGTCACTGAGCATGTGTCTTTCCTCCTTCTCTTCCCCTGCAGACAGCCACCGCACTGTGTTCCCGACACGTACAGCAATGCCACGCTCTGGTACAAGATCTTCACAACTGCCAGAGATGCCAACACAAAATACGCTCAAGATTACAATCCTTTCTGGTGTTATAAGGGGGCCATTGGAAAAGTCTATCATGCTTTAAATCCCAAGCTTACAGTGATTGTTCCAGATGTAAGTGAGAAAAACCGTGTGTGTGTGTGTCTGTGTGTCTGTGTGTGTGTACGTGTGCACATGGGCACATGTGTGTGCATGTGCTGCAACTGTTGGTGTAGGTCCTGCTGACTTCCCTGGGTAAGCGTATCCTCTGCCACTCTAGATTTCCAGCTGCGTTGGGACACTTGGCGGAGAGGTGCATGCTTGGAGAAACATGCCACCCATTGGTTAAGGAAAATCTGGTTTTTCTCTTCGTTTTCTCTGTTGTTTGGCAGCAGTTATTTCTTGAGGAACTGCCTAACCCCTGGGGGTTGCAAGGGATGCTTGTATTAATACTGTTTTAGAGGGATGTTCACAGATATCCATAGAAGACTATCTAGTTAGTCTCAGTGTGAACAAGAAATAGTGCTGCTTGGAGTTCTGAAAGGTAGATGTGAGTAGAAGGAGGTGAATCTTCAGCTAGAGAGTGAGGCCTGAATAGGATTTAACTGAACCAAGAGGCAAGGAGAAGAAAACACCTATTTTGTCTAGTGGCTGTGCACTAGCTCAGCTTCCTACTTAGACTTGAGCCTACTTTTTTTCTAAGAGACAGGATCTTGCTCTGTCTCCCAGATTGGGGTCTAGTGGTGCATTCATAGCTTGCTGCAGCTTCAGGTTCTGGGCTCAGACTTCCCGAGTAGCCAGGACTACAGGTGCATGTCACCATGCCGGGATAATTTTTAAATTTTTTTGTAGAGATGGGGTCTTGCTATATTGCCCAGGCTGGTCTTGAACCCCTGGCCTCAAGCGATCCTCCTGCCTTGGCCTACCAAGTGGCTGGGTTGACATGACAGGTGTGAGCCACCACACCTGGCCCAAGCCCACTTTTTAATTTTTTTCGAAATGGGGTCTTTCGGTGTTGCCCAGGCTGGAGTGCAGTGGAACACTCTCGGTTTACTGCAACCTCCACGTCCTGGGTTGAAGCGATTCTCCTGCCTCAGCCTCCCAAGTAGCTGGGATTACAGGCACCTGCTACCACACCAAGCTAATTTTTGTATTTTGAATAGAGGTAAGGTTTCATCATATTGGCCAGATTGGTCTTGAACTCCTAACCTCAGGTGATCCTCCCACCTCAGCCTCCCAAAGTGCTGAGATTACAGGCATGAGCCACTGCGCCTGGCCTTTGCCCTTTTATGAGGCTCATTTGTAGGCCAGGGTCCTGCAGGAGCCAGCCATGGAGGTCAGGCTGGATGGTGGGCTGAGGTCCTTCGTGCCTGGCCGAGGACAATCCCTGCCTGTGTTTGGGCCATGGGGATTGGTAAAGCAATGTGCCGAGAAGACTGGGCTGCCCCACTATGTGGTAAATGAGCAGGGTCGGAGCCCAGGCTGACCTGAGACCTGGAGATATGAGAGGGAAAAGGAATGAAAGTGTGTCTGGGGTCTCTCTAGTAACTCGCAGAGCTTGGGGATTGACTGCATGTGGGAGGTCAGAGGGCAGTGAATCAAAGATGACGTCAGCATTTTCATCCAGGGACTTAGAGAAGTAGGGAAATGCAGGAGCAAGGAGGCGACTGAGGAGAGGTGAGGTGCTAAGGCCTTCCTGGTGGGGGCATAGCCAGGAGTTAGGAATGCAGCCTCGGCTGTCAGCCATGCAACTGGAGGGCAATTCATGATGAGGATGTGTCCAGAGAGGGCTTAAAGACGGAGTCTCTGCAGCCTTTGCTGGGGAGGAGGCCTGCTGGAGGGGCAGGGTTCAGGCAGTGTGGGGGTGCAGAACGCAGCGCAGAGACAGCGCTAGGAAGGAATGGTTGCTCTCTACCAGGGATTGCTTAGAAACACCGCGTCTTCACTTAATGAGATCCAGCTTTGCTAATTCAGGAGCCAGAAGGAGAAACCTCTCCCAGCTTGAGAATCAAAGTTATAGCAAGTCTGGAGTTTGTAAAGACTGTCTCTCAAAACCCAGCATTAAAACCTTTCAGTAACTCAGAATACGTTTCTATTTTTTTTTGTTCTCTTCTTTGTTTAGGATGACCGTTCATTAATAAATCTGCATCTCATGCACACCAGTTACTTCCTCTTTGTGATGGTGATAACGATGTTTTGCTATGCTGTTATCAAGGGCAGACCCAGCAAATTGCGTCAGAGCAATCCTGAATTTTGTCCTGAGAAGGTGAGCCCTGGATGGGGTCCAGGCTAGCATTTTGCTAGAGGTCTCTGTATATAGAAAGTGACACTTATCCTTATTCCATTTATTGTGGGTGGCACCTTTCATCCAAAGAACTGACAGTCATCCCTCAGTGTCCTAGGGACATAGGTTCCAGGACTCTGGTGGACACCAAAATTCATGAATGCCCAGATCCCTTTGGGGGTGCATTATTTGCATATGACCTCCGCAAATCCTCTGTAGCTTTTTTTTTTTTTTTTTTGAGACAGAGTTTCGCTCTTGTTTCCCAGGCTAGAGTGCAATGGCGCGATCTCGGCTCACGGCAAACTCCGCCTACTGGGTTCAGGCAATTCTCCTGCCTCAGCCTCCTGAGTAGCTGGGATTACAGGCGCGTGCCACCATGCCCAGCTAATTTTTGTATTTTTAGTAGAGACGGGGTTTCACTATGTTGACCAGGACGGTCTCGATCTCTTGACCTCGTGATCCACCCGCCTCGGCCTCCCAAAGTGCTGGGATTATAGGCTTGAGCCACCGCGCCCGGTCCCATCCTCTGTAGCTTTAAATCATCTCTAGATTACTTTTTTTTTTTTTTGAGACAGAGTTTCCCTCTTGTTACCCAGGCTGGAGTGCAGTGGCGCCATCTTGGCTCACCGCAACCTCCGCCTCCTGGGTTCAGGCAATTCTCCTGCCTCAGCCTCCTGAGTAGCTGGGATTACAGGCACGCACCACCATGCCCAGCCAATTTTTTGTATTTTTTAGTAGAGACGGGGTTTCACCATGTTGACCAGGATGGTCTCGATCTCTTGACCTCGTGATCCACCCGCCTCGGCCTCCCAAAGTGCTGGGATTGCAGGCTTGAGCCACCGCGCCCGGCCACTTTTTTTTTTTTTGAGACCGAGTTTTGCTTTGTCACCTAGGCTGGAGTGCAGTGGCATGATCTCCACTCATTGCAACCTCCACTTCCCAAGCTCAAGTGATTCTCCTACCTCAGTCTCCCGAGTAGCTGGGATTACAGGCATGTGCCACCGTGCTCAGCTAATTTTTGTATTTTTAGTAGAGACAGGGTTTCACTATGTTGGCCAGGCTAGTCTTGAACTCCTGATGTCAAATGATCCACCTGCCTCAGCCTCCCAAAGTGTTGGGATCACAGGTGGGAGCCACTGTGCCCAGCTTCTAGGTTACTTACAATACCTAATACAGTGTAAATGCTATGTAAATCATTGTTACAGTATACTTTTAAAACTTGTATTATTTTTATTGTTGTATTCTTATGTTGTTTTTTTTTCTTTTGAGTAGTTCTCCTTTTTTTGGTTGGTTTTTTTTTTTTTTTTTTTTTTGAGACGGAGATTTTTGTTGCTCAGGCTGGAGTGCAATGGCATGATCTCGGCTTACCACGACCTCTGCTTCCTGGGTTCAAGCAATTCTGCCTCAGCCTCCCGAGGAGCTGGGATTACAGGCATGTGCCACCATCATGCCCAGCTAATTTTGTATTTTTAGTAGCGACAGGCTTTCTCTATGTTGGTTGAGCTGGTCTCAAACTCCCAACCTCAGGTGATCTGCCCACCTCAGCCTCCCAAAGTGCTGGGATTACAGGTGTGAGCCACCGTGCCTGGCTTATTTTATTTATTTATTTATTTATTTATTTTTGAGACAGGGTTGAGCTCTGTCATCCAGGCTGGAATGGAGTGGTGCGATCGTGGCTCACAATGCAATCATAGCTCACTGCAGCCTTTACCTCCCAGGCTCAGTCAGTCCTCAATTTCCCAAGTAGCTGGGACTGTAGGCATGCATCAGCACACCTGGCTAATTTTGATAATTTTTGAAAGAACCACTGCCAAGTCACTCCCTTTAATAGTGATGACGGCTTGGGTAATGATTAAAAATCCAACACCAGGGCCGGGTGCGGTGGCTCAAGCCTGTAATCCCAGCACTTTGGGAGGCCGAGGCGGGTGGATCACGAGGTCAAGAGATCGAGACCATCCTGGTCAACATGGTGAAACCCCGTCTCTACTAAAAATACAAAAAATTAGCTGGGCATGGTGGCGCGTGCCTGTAATCCCAGCTACTCAGGAGGCTGAGGCAGGCGAATTGCCTGAACCCAGGAGGCGGAGGTTGCGGTGAGCCGAGATCGGGCCATTGCACTCCAGCCTGGGTAACAAGAGCGAAACTCCGTCTCAAAAAAAAAAAAAAAAAAAAAAAAAAATCCAACACCATAATTTAGGCTGAGGGTAAAGACACTTCTAATTAAGACAGAAACCACAGGTGATCTTCTATAATTGTGGGTTCCGCATCCACAGATTCAAACAAAAATACACACAAGAGGGCTGGGCATGGTGGCTCATGCCTGTAATCTCTACTTTGGGAGGCCAAAGTAGGTGGATCACTTGAGCCCAGGAATTCAAGACCAGTTTGGGCAACATAGCAAGACCCCATCTCTACTAAAAGTTAAAAAATTAGGCCGGGCGCGGTGGCTCAAGTCTGTAATCCCAGCACTTTGGGAGGCCGAGGCGGGTGGATCACGAGGTCAAGAGATCGAGACCATCCTGGTCAACATGGTGAAACCCCGGCTCTACTAAAAATACAAAAAATTAGCTGGGCATGGTGGCGCGTGCCTGTAATCCCAGCTACTCAGGAGGCTGAGGCAGGAGAATTGCCTGAACCCAGGAGGCGGAGGTTGCGGTGAGCCGAGATCGGGCCATTGCACTCCAGCCTGGGTAACAAGAGCGAAACTCCGTCTCAAAAAAAAAAAAAAAAAAAAAAAAAAAATCCAACACCATAATTTAGGCTGAGGGTAAAGACACTTCTAATTAAGACAGAAACCACAGGTGATCTTCTATAATTGTGGGTTCCGCATCCACAGATTCAAACAAAAATACACACAAGAGGGCTGGGCATGGTGGCTCATGCCTGTAATCTCTACTTTGGGAGGCCAAAGTAGGTGGATCACTTGAGCCCAGGAATTCAAGACCAGTTTGGGCAACATAGCAAGACCCCATCTCTACTAAAAGTTAAAAAATTAGGCCGGGCGCGGTGGCTCAAGTCTGTAATCCCAGCACTTTGGGAGGCCGAGGCGGGTGGATCACGAGGTCAAGAGATCGAGACCATCCTGGTCAACATGGTGAAACCCCGTCTCTACTAAAAATACAAAAAATTAGCTGGGCATGGTGGCGCTAGCCTGTGGTCCCAGCTACTCAGGAGGCTGAGGCAGGAGAATTGCCTGAACCCAGGAGGCGGAGGTTGCGGTGAGCCGAGATCGCGCCATTGCACTCCAGCCTGGGTAACGAGCGAAACTCCGTCTCAAAAAAAACAAAAACAAACAAACAAAAAACTAGCCAGGTGTGGTGGTGCGTGTCTGTATTCCCAGCTACTGGGGAGGCTGAGGTGGGAGGATTGCTTGAGCCCAGGAGTTGGAAACTATAGTAACCTATGACTGTGCCACTGCACTCCAGCCTGGACGACAGAGTAAGACCCTGTCTCAAAAAGAAAAAAGAAAAAACAAACAAAAAACCAGTTCATTCTGTCTCTGCACAGTGGTTCCAGATGGGCTGCATCTTGCAGGAGATTGGGATTTCTAGTCACTTCTTCCTAGGTGAGATTTTCTTCTTAGGGGTTTAATAACTTCCCTGCCTGGTCGATATGTGCCATCAGTGTTGCGCCCTGGTCTTTGGGTAGGCGCTGGAACCCTGGGCTGAGTTACCTGGGCTTCCCTCTTTGACTGGTTTCCCTGGCTTGCTCTCTTCCAGGTGGCTTTGGCTGAAGCCTAATCCCACAGTTCCTGTTTTCTGAGAGAGACTGAGAGAACCATAATCCTTCCCTGCTGAACCCAGCCTGGGCCTGGACGCTCTGTGAATACATTATCTTGCGATGTTGGGTTATTCCAGCCAAAGACATTTCAAGTGCCTGTAACTGATTTGTACATATTTATAAAAATCTATTCAGAAATTGGTCCAATGATGCACGTGCTTTGCACTGGGTGCAGCCAGAGCCCTTCATCCCTGCCCTGGACTTGAGACCTGGTGATTGTGTCCACACATCTCCAGAGAAGGATTCCTGGGTCTAGCTGTGTGGGAGCCGGTCATGACGTTTTCACCAAGGTCACAGGCGTGTTGTGTCGCTTGTGGGGTTGAAGTTTGGTTTGGTTCTTGTTTCAGCCGGTTATGTAGAGAACGTTTGAAACAGTCTGCACCTTTGATATGATACTGCATTTCCAAAGCCACCAATCCATTTTGTGGATTTTATGTGTCTGTGGCTTAATAATCATAGTAACAACAATAATACCTTTTTCTCCATTTTGCTTGCAAGGAAACATACCTAATTTTTTTTTTTTTTTTTTTTTTTTCTTTTCAAAGAAAATATAAAATAGTCACATTTTAATATTACGCTAGTTAGGACAGACTCGTGCTTTTATCCTGAGTAGAAACTTTAAGTCACGTACATTGTAAAGATCTAAGATTCATTTTCCACATGGATGACAAGGAACCTGGTTTTGTTGGTGTTGACACAGAAGGTTCTACTGTCTTTTCGTCCACTCTTGCCCCTCCCTTCTGTTACCAGAATTAATACAGCCTCTTCACTCACAAGGGCTTCAGAATGTAAGTGGCTTTCGTGTTAGAGTGACCATTCACTGTTCTGCTTTCTGGAATGCAGGTGACAGTATGCAAAGAGAGAATGATGATTCGGTCTAATAGTAAAGGGTTTTTTTCTTTTTCTTTTTTTTTTAAAGAGTGGGTGGATTTTCTCCTTTTTGTTTTGCTTTTATTTTAATGCAACTAACATCTTAAGAGGGAAAGCAGCCAGTAGATTAGTCACATGAAAACGATGCCTCTGAAATTTGAAGGAATGTAGTTCTGATTTGCCATTCATCAGAGAAGACCAAAAGCATTTTTCTTATAACTTTTTTTCCTGTTTTTGTTTTGTTTTGTTTTTTGAGGCAGGGTCTTGCTCTGTCCGCCGGGCTGGGGTGCAGTGGTGCAGTCAGGCTCACGGCAGCCTCCAAACTCCAGGGCTCAAGCAGTCCTCCCACTTTAGCCTCCTGAGGAGCTGGGACTACAGGCGTGTGCCATCATGCCTGGCTGACATTTAAATTTTTTGTAGAGACAGGGTCTCACTCTGTTGCCCAGGCTTATCTGGAACTTCTGGCTTCAAGTGATCCTCTCACCTCAACCTCGCAAAATCCTGGGATTCCAGGCATCAGCCACTGAGCACAGCCCTCTTAAAACATTTTGTCTCGTTGTCTGGTTCCTCTTGAGTCTTTTTCCTTCTAATCCTGATTCATTCAAGCAGAATTGTGCGTGATCTCTTTCAGTCCTTTCTTGTTGGTTGCATTCTTGCCATTTTTTTCTTTACTATTTGCCTTAATAGCGCATTGTCATTGATGACTTCTTTGTTCTCCCAGGCAGTGTTAGAGCAGAAGGGCGATGAAAACCATCGGTGCTTCTTTCCCGGACTCTAGCTTTGTAGTCTGTTCTCAGTCAGGATTAGTTCCTGCAGCCTGACCTGGAACCTTTTACCCCAGGCATTTTTGAATGAAAAACAGTTGCGGGCTTTTATTGAAGATTGTTAGAATCATCACTGTAGTAACTTGATATGTTAGGATTCCTTTTTTTCCTTTTAGGATGTTTCAAGCACAGTAATTGTACCGTCTGTCCAGTTTCTTTGTATGATACGAGTTGCTTACACGGTGCATGGCTAACTTCTTAATTTAGTTTTCTCCTTAGAGACTTTGAGACCCTTAGGAGACAAGATTAAGAAAGAGCCACGTGGCTTGGCTCTAGAAACGGCATTATCATTAGGACTGTCAGATTCTAGATTAAGCTGCTGTTGAATTAGTAAAATCCCAATGAAGCAGAGTTAAAGGGATAGATTTATAGCTGGCAGAGTCGTAGCAGAGGAGACAGTGAAAAAGCCAATTTCACTGGTTTGCTCGATCCAGCTTGTTGCTAATGTTAGTTACCCTTGTTTTAATGACAGAGTGGCTGCAATCTGTAGCCAGGGGAGGAGCGACACTGTTAGGTGTGAGGAAAGGAAGTGCCAAAAATGCCTGGACAGATGGCCTGTCCCAAGGCCAGGACACACACTTTAAAATCCAGCATTCACCTCAGCAGGTGATTCTCAAAGATCTTACAGAAACGCAGAGTCAATCAGGTTTGTAAAGGAAGGCTGTGGGGTGAAGAGGCCTAGGACCTGAAGAGACTCCCACCGAGTCTCAGGAAGCTCAGGGGACCTGTCACCATCTGGGCACTTCCCAGGCTCAGCACTCAGCCGGAGTTTGCTGGTGGACCTCAGGATTCCAAGAGTGCGACAGTTGGGGTGCGCTTGCCTGCCGTTCAGGGCAGCCGCGCGCGGGAGCACCGGCTCACCCTCAGGCATCTTGGACTGGAGGGCCAGCAGAAGGTCAGCAACTTACTCCTAAAACGATTGTTTCAGATCATATTGATCTCTTTCCTTTTTCCTTTTGTCCTTTCACTGTATGACTTGAATCAGTTTTGATTCTCTTTGTAAGTGTTTCTTGTTGTCAGGCACCTGCCATGTCTGTTGCGTTTCCCCGGCAGTGTGTAGGGCTTCAGCTTCCTGGGTTTTCACCCTCCTGCAGGCACTGTGGGGTCCTGAGGGCCAGCGGGTCCATTTCACCTCTTGCTGCATGATGGTCAGTAGCTGATCTGTTACGGCATTCACTTCCAGATTAATTTTCCGTGTTTGAAGTATGTGCATATGTGCTTTACAGAATAAAACATCGGAATTTATTTGCTGTGTGTCCTTTTCCTCCAGCCAGATGGGGGTGTTTTTTTTTTGTTTTTTTTTTTTTTTGAGACACAGTCTCGCTCTATCGCCAGGCTGGAGTGCAATGGCACGATCCCGGCTCAGTGCAACTTCTGTTTTCCAGTTTCAGGCAATTCTCCTGTGTCAGCCTCCCGAGTAACTGGGACTAAAGGCACACACCACCACGCCCAGCTAAGTTTTTGTACTTTTGGTAGAGACGGAGTTTCACCATTTTGGCCAGGATGGTCTCGATCTCTTGACCTTGTGATCCACCCGCCTCGGCCTCCCACAGTGCTGGGATTACAGGGGTGAGCCACTGCTTCTGGCCCAGATGGGGGTTTTCTAAGGAAGTAACGTGCAGTAAGCAGCTGAGGGTTTTTTGCAGGCTGCTCCTTTGGACTGTCACCTGTCATCTGGAGGAAGGGTGGGCATTGTTTCCAATGAAGGCGGCCTCACCAAGCACATTCGTCTTCCTCTGAGAGTAAAGAACCCTCTGTAGCTTGCTAGACCAACAAGAACTGCTTGCAGGCGTGACCCTAACCCTACTCAAGGAAGTAAGTAATCAATTCAATGCAGGGAGCATTGAATAGATGTGGGAGTTCCAAGATACCCTTCTCAGTGACGTAAGCATGCGTGCCCAGTCTCAGGCTCCCAGCTTGCTCTGTGGGCTCCTGTTGCAGAGCTCCAACCCACCCTAGACGTCCTTTGCCAAGACAGAGCATCCTCTGCAGTTTCCATAGCTAAGGGGAGATGGCGTTCACTAAAGCGAATCCTTCCCCTGTTCGGTAGCCAGTGGCTGCGTGTCCCTTCCCTTCCCTCCCCAGCAGGCGCTGGGGTCGCAGGGTCAGTCTCCCGGTTGATGAAGGTGCTACTCAATAAGCTCTTTGTTCTTGCCGCTTCCACCTCTTCCTGCCTTCTGCCTGGGAAAGGCGAACTCTGCTTGGAGCCCGGTGTTGTTCCCTGCTCTCTCCTTGGACTCATGTTTGTGTGCGGTGATTTACCTCTATCCCAGTACAGAATACGCCTGGGAGGAGAAGAGCTTACGTCTTCCTGCTGTCGTAGCCTGGTAAGACCTGACACGTGCCAGCTTCTCAAGTCAGGTCAGTTTTTGCTTTGAAACCATTTCATTTTCCCAGTAGGCCCCCTGTGCTTCCATTTCCCTTATACTCACGGATGTGCAAGGATTCCCCCAAAAAGTAGAAAGAAGGCACAGACCTCGGCACTCCGGAGTCTAGTCAAGGAGTTTAGTTGCTGTCTCAAAGAAACATATCTCTGCCCAGAATTTGAGACCAGCCTGGCCAACATAGTGAAACCCCATCTCTACTGAAAATACAAAAATTAGCTGGGCATGGTCGTAGGCACCTATAGTCCCAGCTACTCAGGAGGCTGAGGCAGGAGAATCATTTGAACCTGGGAGGCAGATGTTGCAGTGAGCTGAGATCGCACCACTGCACTCCAGCCTGAGGGACGGAGCAAGACTTCATCTACAAAATAAAAATTAAAAAATAAATGTATCCCTGTCCATCTGAGAGCCTATATTCTTTCCAACTATGAAGACCACACACACAGGAAGTTGATGATGGGGAAGTAGGGTGGTTTGAAAAATTGCAGGAAGAGGCTGGCGTGGTGCTTACACCTGGAATCCCAGCACTTGGAGAGGCCAAGGTGGGAAGATCGCTTGAGCTAAGTAGTTTGAGACCATCCTGGGCAGCCCCAGCTCTACAAAAATACAAAAATTAGCCAGGTGTGGTGGCATGTGACTAGTCCCAGCTACTTGGGAGGCTGAAGTGGGAGGACCACTTGAACCTGGGAAGTCAAGGCTGCAGTGAGTTATGATCACACCCCTGCACTCCAGCATGGGCAACACAGTGGGACCCTGTCTCAAAACAACCTCAAAAACAACATTGCTAGAAGAGTTGGGATTGTTTTCTGGTAGAGATGCAGTTTCAAAGGCTGTTCTCAAACTCCTGGCCTCACACAATCCTCTCACCTAAGCCTCCCAAAGTGCCAGAATTACAGGAAGTGGTGAGTGGAGGTGTCTGAGAATGCAGCTGGTGTGTCACCCTTGGTCACCCTTTGGGAGAGGAGAGCTCACCAAGCAAAGAGCATCTTCTCCAAGCCCTAGTCCTTCATCACTGCGATGCTAACTGCTGTGGCTTCTGAACACTCGCTGGAGTATGAGAACTAGTCTCTGAAAGGATGCATGTGTAACAGAAATAAGTTTCCTGACATGAAAATCACCTTCACTGCATAGGACACACACGAATGTTTCCATTTAGTCTCTATTCTTACAACCAAAACACCAGAGGTGACCTCTGCATTGATTGTGTAGCCCACAAATGGAAAGCAGCCTGTAGTTTAAAGAACATTGATCGAGAAAAAATCTTTTACAATTCGGAGCATTCTGACTCTGAATGCCGACATTCTAGCTATCAAGAATTTGTTTTTTTTTTATTTTATTTTTTCAAGACAGAGTCTCACTGTCGCCCAGGCTGGAGTGCAGTGGTGCGATCTTGGCTCACTGCAACCTCCGCCTCCCAGGTTCAAGCAATTCTTGTGCTTCTTGAGTAGCTGGGACTACAGGTGTGTACCATCACGCTGGGTAATTTTTGTATTATTCATAGAGACGGGGTTTCTCCGTTGTTGGTCCGACTGGTCTTGAACTCCTGACCTCAATGACCCTGCCCTCAGCCTCCCAAAGTGCTGGGATTATAGACGTGAGCTGCCACACTTGGCTAAGAATTTTATCTTTTTAGGAGGTTGCAGTCTCTCGTGTTTTCAGAACCTTGGAGGCTGACAACTGGCAGTCATGTTGAGCAGACCTTCGTTTTTAAGCAGAAGAAATTGTTCTCATTATCTTGAGAAACCTGCCATGTACGTGGTAGATGCTAGGGAAGAGGCTCCTATCTAAAACCTTGGTGCCTTTATTTTATTTTAAATTTTTGAGATGGAGTTTTGCTCTTGTTACCCAGACTGGAGTATAATGGTGTGATCTTGGCTCACTGCAACCTACGCCTCCTGAGTTCAAGTGATTTTCCTGCCTCAGCCTCCCAGGTAGCTGGGATTACAGGCATGTACCACCACGCTCACCTAATTTTTTGTAATTTTTGTAAAGACGGGGTTTCTGGGGGTTTCTCCATGTTGGTCAGGCTGGTTTATTGAGTGAATCTAATTTATATTCTAGAATGTATCTCTTAAAATTATTATTTTTTTTTTGAGATGGAGTTTCACTCTTGTTACCCAGGCTGGAGTGCAATGGCGCGATCTCGGCTCACTGCAACCTCTGCCTCCTGGGTTCAGGCAATTCTCCTGCCTCAGCCTCCCAAGTAGCTGGGACTACAGGCACGCGCCACCATACCCAGCTAATTTTTTGTATTTTTAGTAGAGACGGGGTTTCACCATGTTGACCAGGATGGTCTCCATCTCCTGCCCTCGTGATCCACCCATCTTGGGATCCCAAAGTGCTGGGATTACAGGCTTGAGCCACTGTGCCCGGCCAAAATAAGTTTTTTTTTTGAGACCGAATTTCATTCTGTCACCCAGGCTGGAGTGCAGTGGCACGTTCTCATCTCATTGCAACCTCTGCCTCCTGGGTTCAAGTGTTTCTTCTGCCTCAGCCCCCTCCCAAGTAGCTGAGACTACAGGTGTGCACCACCACACCTGGCTAATTTTTGTATTTTTAGTAGAGACAGGTTTTCACTACATTGGCCAGGCTGGACTCAAACTCCTGATCTCAGATGTTCCATCTGCCCTGGACTCCCAAAGTGCTGATGTTACAGGTGTGAGCCACTGCCCCTGGCCTTGAAGTAGATTTTTAAAATCTTGCACCTCGTCCATTTAAGTGTTTAAATACTAAAATAATTCTTCAGTTATATCCCAAGTGTTAGCCAAGATTTTTTCAGGTGTTTACCAGAATGGGTCATATTCTAAGCACTCTTCATATTGTCTTATTTAATTCTCCTAACAACTCCCTAACCTTCCCACAGACACAGGCAGAGAAAAGAGAGTCAGGAAGTTATCTAGAAACACAAGCCATAGTTTAATAAAAATAAAGAGTGGTTTTATTGATTACGTGCAATTTTAGCTATATTAATATATATTATAAACTTTAAGAATTAGAAATAAGTGACTTATTTTTTAACCAAGAATAATCTAAGTTATGGCAGCATGTTCAATGAATATTATTTAAGTCCTATACAGTTTTTCTGTTTCTCAGGTAATCAGGAACATCATCAAAACTTTACATTATGACACCATAATGACCCTCATAACACAAGTTCCATTAAGTAGAAATGAAGCGTCATGTTTATTTTTGTTAAAGACTCCCCCTGTTGTTGTATTGACATACCCCTCAAATAATCTCACTCAATTATACAAATAACTTTTTACCCACAAGAGTTGCCTCAAATAACTTTCATTTTGGAAAGCTACCAAGGGATGAGACAGTAGCAAAATGCTACTCTGGACTCCGCACCTTGGAGTTTCAGTTTTGCTTTAGGATTCAGACCCCAGCTTATAATTAAAACCTAATGATTCCCACATTATGATGCTGTAGGAAAGCCTTGCTGTGTCCACTGTTAACACAAAGACAGGAAATGTCAAATAGTTTGAGCATGTATTTGGCAGACCACAGACATGAAACGGTGCTGTAGGAAATGAAAACACATTAGTGTTTTAGAGGTGAAGAGACTGATGGACGTCATTCAAATTTCTCATCTCCTTCTTCCACATCTTTCAAGTTGAGCACTTCCAAAGAACCTTTGCCTTTGGTTTCCTTTTTTATTAGCTCATCGATTTCTCTGAAGCAACCGGGGTCAATCAGACATACCTGAAACATTTAACGTGGCAATTTACCACATGAAGATAAGCAAGAAACAGAATAAATTCAGCTTTAATGTCCTTTAAGGCAAACGATGCTTTGCAGAGATCACTCATAATACTACAGTTCTATGGAGCAATAGGTAAGACAATGGGGTAGCCAGCG